TGTAGCTTCAAGCTGAGAAACTTCAATGGCAATTTCGTAATTTCGTTGCTCTATCTGTTCTCTCGCTTCATTTCTAGATTTGGTTGTGGTTTCGATCTGTTTAACAAGCTCTTCAACTATCTCATTTGTTCTTTTGATTACTCCATAAGCAACAGAGGGGAAACCAGTGTACTTTTGCGATCGTGGCAATCCTCCGGCAGAGAAGTTTTTGAAATTATTAACTTTCCCAGATATTTTTTCGATACCTGAGACAAGCATATGTGCAGAGGTCTCGATCTCCGATCGCAATCCTTCTTTTCCCTTGGACGCTTCCTCCAATTGCTTCGCCAAATCTTCTCTCTGTTTTATAACATCCTCTTTGATCTTATTAGCTTCGGCTAATTGCGCCGTTAAGCTCTCGTTCGATTTCAAAGCTTCTTCTTTCTCACGGAGAGCTTCATCTCGTTGTCTTCCACTCTCGTCACGCTTCTTAATCGCGTCGTGAGCCAAAGCTTTTAACCGATTAAATGAAACTTGAAGTTCTGATTTCGAATTCTCCGCCGCTTGTCGTGCTTGTTTCTCGCGATCAAGGTCCGCGAGAATTTCGCGGAATTTCTCGACATGCACATCCCCTTGAGATGGATCTTTTATAACGATCGGTACCGGCTCATCAGACTCCACGTCGCTAAGCATCGCATCGGCTTCCTCGTCGCCCGCACTCGCCATTTTAGAACAACACCAAATGTTCTACAATCAATCAGTAAAAAATTCTCGTATTTTGTAGCGATCGAAACCCTAGAATTAGAAACAGAGGAGGAAAATAATGGAAGTTACCGATTGAAGTAGGAAAGTAAGGAAATCAATTAATCGGAAAAAAATGAAGATAAATTACGATTAAGTTATAATCAGAACAATTTAAAATTGCATGAAACAAGAGATAAAGGGAAACTAAGGGAAGGAAAATGGTGCTGTCGTTACCCAATGGAGACGGTGTCGTTGAATAACGAAGAACACGATTACTTACCAACCAGTCTTTCTTTGGTCTCTCCTATTTTGTTTTTATTTTTTATTTTTTATTTTTGTAAAGCCAACACTTAGAAGAAGAAAACAATTTTAAAATGGATAAATTATATAAATGGTTACTTAATTATGTATAAGTTTTACTTTTGGGTAAAATTTACGTATGTTCCCTTATGTTTTCAGCCTGATTGATTTTGGTCACCAGTTCATAAATAAATGGTCTTGGTCTCTTACATTTTTGGTCCGTTCGATTTTAGTCATCCGGTTGTTAACTCTAGTTAACTCATTAACGGAAATCTGAGTTGATATTTAAAAAATAAAAAAAATCACGTTTTTTAATTAAAAAAATACATATATCTTCTTCTTTTTCCTCTTCTGTTACTGTATTATCATTATAATTCCACTAATATTTTTATTTACTTATATTTCATTATATATTTAATATTATTATTGTTGTTGTTGCTGTTGTTGTTATTATTGTTATTGTTGCTGGTGGTGTTGTTGTTACCGTTGTTGGTGTTGCTCTTGTTGTTGTTACTGTTACTGTTATTGTTTCTGTTATTGTTGTTGTTGCTGTTGTTGCTATTCATGTTGCTGTTGTACTTAACAACAACAAATCCGTTATGATAAAATTGAAAGACGTTAGTCATCAGGGACTACTGCACTGCAGTTTTCTCTTTGTGGCCATCCTCTTGCACTTTATTTTTCAGAGAAAAGATAATGATTTGGCACAGAAATGGATTGGTAATGCTGGATTTTTATTGGCTGCAAACCAGTGTTGTAATAATAATAAAATAAAAAGACAAGGGTCCAAACATTTGATGCTACTAATCTCTCTTATCTTTGGGTTTTAGAAAGAGAGTTGTGCTTTTGATTACTAATATCGTTCTTATATTTTGATTATTATCCTTTTAATTATTGAAGTTGTTTAGTTCATACTTACAATCTAAATTAAATAATAATATGTCAACAGTTGTACATAAAAACTGTTTGAATCTATCCAAATAGTATTGCTTCAACCACATGTAAAACAAATTTAATTACACAACTTTTAAAATTTAATTATCCTTTTAAAAGAAGCTTAAATTGTCCATATTTATGAAGGTGACCCTCTGATAAATTGCATAAAACAATTACTCCGACGTTGACTATTTTAGTATGTTTGCCATACCTTAAGCAATAAGCAATTAAGCATGTCATGTCTATTTAGCCAAATCTCCCTTTTCACATTTTCCCTTTTGCAATCATCTCCGCTTTCGTCCCGTGGCGCTTTTAGTGTTAGATAAGCTGCTCCAAAATCAAGCTTATCCATTAAACATCAATCCCGGTCTTAATTTAATTATATCTTTAAAATAGGATAACACAAACGTATCAAGTGACTTTAATAACTAAAGAGAAGGTTATTCTTAAGGGTGTAAATGAACAGAGCATTCGGTAAACTGTTCACGAATAACGTTCGTTTTTGTTCGTTTATTAAGCCAAAAAAATGAGTATGGACAATTTTTTATGTCCGTATAATAAATGAACAAACACGAACAAATGTATATTCGTTCGTTTATATTCACGAACAAGATCGTTTATAAGCTCTCTTCTATCGACTTGTTCATTTTTATTCATGAACAAGCTTGTTTACTTGGTTTCCCTTTACCTTTTATTTTTTAAATTTTAAATATGGATGAAGGTAGGGACTAAATTTTACAATTGGCATAATTTTTAAAAAGTTTAAGCACTATTGGCATAATTTCACAATTTTTCTTTAGCTTGCAAATGAAAGGATAAAACTAAAAATTGAACGTATAAACGAACGTTAAACGAACATGTTCGTGAATATTAAATGAACGTGTCCGTGAACAAATAAACGAACACGTTCGTGAACATTAAATGAATACGTTCGCATACAATAAATAAAAGAACACGATATTAAAAATTTAAACAAACATGAACCGAACATGAACACCTTTAAAAATAAACAAACGAACACGAACATAATCTTATTCGTTCAAGCTCACTTCATTTACCTAGTTATTCTCTTAGACATGAAGATTTTATGTTAAGAGGTACACTTTTAAAATTTTAGGAGGAAGCAAATTTATAGAATTTAAGGAGACAAAAATATATTATCAATTGAAAATACAAAGAAAATATCTTAAATAAATATTAATTTGAAATTTTTAGGGGAGTGATTTATCCATCCCCTTCGATTCATCTATGTTTCTATAATAATAATAAAAAATATCTTTAGAAGTCTGGGTTTGAGTAGCTACGTCCCGTTAACTACAATTCCTTTTTTTGTCCCCAAATTACAGTTAGAAATTTAAACAACTTCTTTAATGTGAATTCTCGTCACAAATTGACCAACACGAGACAAATAAGCTGGATTCAAAGCTTTTCATTCCCGCATGTTGATTTTTTTCTCTATACTTCTGTCCTTTTGTTGTTCTTATGAGCATAAAACGAGATACCTATCCCTGGCTTAAACGTCTTCCAGATGTTACTTTTTCTAAATTACGAAATAATTTTCTCAAAAATAAAGTGCCAAGTGAAATCGTAACATGTATCTCTATATAAATTTGGCATAATGAATGCCCTAAACATTAATTTAACACGTGTTTGATACGATAGACTCAAACACGTTAGATGGATGTAGAGAGCATAATAGGAAATAGATCTCATATATCATGTGAAATTAGTTTTACATATTTAGATTTGAATTTTATTTGTTAATTAAATTAAATTAGTATTATTGTTGGTATAATATATAAGAGGACGTGAAATTATGTATGTATAAATATGTGATTTTTAGGGGAAATAGAATAGACTTTATACGATAGTTATGTTGTACAATGAGAAAATTTAAAGTTATTTTATAGTAGATTTTAAACTAAAATGTTGATAGTATACTTTAAAAAGTTACACAAATAATAATAATTTCAGTTATAAACGAGAATATTACATTGCAACGGATTTTAACATAAAATATTATCATGTCTACTCTAAAAAGTTACGTAATTAGTAATAATTTATATTACAACAAAAAATGTTATATGAGTTTATTGACGATAATTTTTTATGTTACAACCAAAATAATTATGAAATTTACATGATTTCTTCTCAAGAATGTAATATTTTTTAACATAAAATGTTATCAAATTCACTATGAAAGTTATACACATAGTATATTTTTCGTTCACTTTATATTAATAAATTGTATTTTAAATCCCTGATTGTATATAAAAGAATATATGTTAAAAAACATTTAAATTTTACTTAAAATATAACTCAAATTTAAAATTTAAATATATATTCTTATTATGTTGACCGAAAGGAAATTTAATATAACTAAAACTCCAAGAATCCAATATGAGTCGAAATTCTCAATAGCTAGCATTTATATAGAGTTTCCTTTTGGTCAAATGAGACAACTTTCGTCTTTCCGTGAGGTTTCTGAGACAGATCAAGATTACGTTATTATTCTTGAAATCAATTGACGACACACACATTCTCAACTGATCGAAGGTATCATGTTAATCTTAACATATTTGCAAGGAACCTCCGTCGAACATTCACCAGGAAATTAAAGACAAGTTCAGGCTTGTAGTTCCATGTGCCGTACTCTCTGACCATTAATTAATTTCTTGCTGCTGAGGTTGCTTATATTTATATATGATTCACATTATCACATGTATAATTAATTTTTTCTTTAAAAGAAAGAATGTTGAATACGTTATCTGTAACCAATCAATTACGTGTTCATTTCTGGGGAAAAACTCACCCAGAATTTCTTCTCTTACTTTCTTTTCTTTGAGTTTAAATTTCTACTTCTTCATTTGTAAGAACTTTCCTGTGGTTGCATAACCTTTGAATCGGTCACTAATTTTCAGCACCCTTTTTTACATTTTATTGATTTTCCATGGAAATTTCGCTTTATATGAAACATTTAAAGACTTCAATAGAATTAGATTACAGTAACAGTACAACCTTTTCATATCCTTCACTCGCCAAATCTTGGTTTTCTCGTTGCAGGAGGAGACATCACTTATTTCCATTAGTGAACCATTAGAGTAAGGTTAATCTTTAGATTTTATTAGTTATGGGAAGCAAAATTTCAAAGGGTTCTAGTAGGAGGTCCCGAACAAGCAGGTCAAGTGATACAGGTTCATCGAGCCCTTACGGATACCCCACACCTCAGCATCCAAGTTATGCACCATCGCCATTGAGTAATTACGGATGTCGAACACCCCGGCGTGTTCATAAGACTATAGAAAGGAAATACTCAAGAATAGCTGATAACTACCAGACACTAGACCAGGTTAGCTTCATGTTCTGTTATTCTGTTGAACTTTTATCTGGTCTGTCCTTTTGTTTTGGTTAATATGAAGAAAGGGTGCGATTTCATGTGAGAAATTGGTGATTACAGGTTACTGCTGCACTTGCACAAGCTGGTCTTGAGTCCTCTAATCTTATTGTTGGCATTGATTTTACAAAGAGCAACGAATGGACAGGTACCATCAGATGCCTATAATTTTCTTCTTTTTTTGTTTTCAAATTATCTGCAATGCACCATATTTAAACTTTCATGGAAAACCAGGAGCGAGGTCCTTTAACCACCGAAGCTTGCATCACATCGGACATGGTCAAAATCCCTATGAACAAGCTATATCGATAATTGGACAGAGTTTATCTTCTTTTGATGACGATAACTTAATTCCTTGTTATGGATTTGGAGACGGTAAGGTTCAAGTCTATTTCTCTTGCCATTCTACATTGATTTGATTCCACTAATTGGATTATAAGACACACTCCGATTCATATATTTGCCAGCATCAACGCATGATCAAGACGTCTTCAGTTTCTACCCGGAAGAGAGATTCTGTGAAGGATTCGAGGAAGTGCTCGCACGATACCGAGAAATCGTTCCTCAACTGCGACTTGCAGGTGCCTGGCTTATTCTTGTTATATATACATCTTGAAGTTAAGCAGTTGGTTGTTACAGTAGTCGTTTATATTTGCTGATTGCAGGACCAACATCTTTTGCACCCATTATCGAAATGGCGACGACTATTGTCGAACAAAGTGGTGGTCAGTACCATGTTTTGTTGATAATTGCAGACGGACAGGTAATTCACAACATTTCTCTGAAACTCCACACATCAGTTTTTGTAAAACTTCTCTCATCTTATGTATATTTTAGGTGACCAGAAATGTTGACACACATCATGGTCAGCTCAGCCCACAGGAGAAGAACACAATTGATGCAATTGTAAAAGCAAGGTAATTCCCATAACTTCCTATATAGCACCAAATTTACATATATCCTCACATGGTCATTTGGCTGCAGTGAGTTCCCGTTATCGATTGTCCTAGTCGGGGTTGGTGATGGACCTTGGGACATTATGAGGGAGTTCGATGATAATATCCCTGCTTGTGCTTTCGATAATTTTCAGGTGAACACGAACTAACTGAATTAAGTTCCGAGTTCCACATAATTTGCTAGTCTCTGAGTGTACTTAGTTCTTAATCTTGATCGTGCCAGTTTGTGAACTTCACCGAGATAATGTCAAAGATGATGAATCCATCAAGAAAGCAAGCAGAATTTGCAGTTTCAGCCTTGATGGAAATACCTTCACAATATAAAGCAACGATTGAGCTTGGCTTATTGGGGTAATTTATTCGTTTTGTCGACTTCCATTCATGTTCATTTCTTAATTGTGTTGTTCCAAAATTAATTGGTTTCCTTTTTATAATTGAACTCAGAAGAAGGAAGGGAGATACTCCAGAAAGAGTTCCTCTTCCACCTCCCATTTATGCCCCCACAAACTCTTATTCTGGATATCAAACGGCAGTTACTCCAGCCACAGCTCCCTTTCACGACAATCAGGTACACCTTTCCGATGAATACGACCAGCTTGAATAAAATGAAGAGTCAGAACAATATGCACATTACCATAAATATTAATCCTTTTTTTTCCTTTTCTCCTGCAAAACGGACAGGTTTGCCCCATTTGTCTTGGTAATCCCAAGGATATGGCCTTTGGTTGTGGACATCAGGTTGACTACTTACTCTATTTCCCATTTCTAATTTCATTTTATATATATATATATATATATATAATGAATAATGAAATTAAACATTCAAATTGACAGACTTGTTGTGACTGTGGAGAAGATCTCCAGCGCTGCCCCATATGTCGTACAACTATCCAAACTCGAGTCAGATTGTATTGATCTGATCCCCTCCACTTAGAGTTGTAAATATATTTCTTAGTTGATTATTTTTCACAAGTAAAAGAGTTGTTTGTTTTGCTCGTTATTTTCTTGATTATATGTTTAATTATTTTTCACAAGTGAAAGAGATGTTTGTTTTACTAATTGTTAATTCGTTATTTTTGTATTATTGTAACAATCTTATTTGTTTTGTATTGGATGATAGTATCAACGAGAAGATAGTTTGCAAAATTATTGTAAATTGAAATTTTAACAAAGGAGTTCCAAGATTAATACAGTTCCTGAGATTGACAAAGGATTATTTATAGCCTTAATTCTACCGAGCACACAAACGTAAAATAAATACAAGAATGAGTAAACAAACAACAAATAAGTCACTTTTTTAATCTAAGCATTGCTCACCAACCTGGGCTTGAGCGTCACCATCAAACCATTCTTCATGTAGAGCGTGGTTGTCAGGTTTGGTAAAACATTGTGACCTTCAACCACCTTAATGGAGTACCTTAAAAGAACCGAAGCAGCCGCCATTTTCATCTGAGTGTAAGCAAACTTCTTCCCCAAACATAACCTCGGACCGGCATTAAATACGGCGTATTTGAACTGGTTTGAACTAACAAACTTCCCATCCTTGATCCACCTCTCTGGCTTGAACTCCAAGCAATCTTTTCCCCATATGGATTCAATACATCACATTGAGTATATGCTGTGGAAGATTCGAGCATCCTTTTTAACCCTTGTTCCGTCCGGAAACAAGTTGTCTTCTTGTACTTGTTTCATTTCAATCGGCACTGATGGGTAGAGTCGTAAGGATTCAGATAATGCAGCTTGGAGATAAACCATCATTTTCAACCTCTCTTCTGTGAAAGCTCTTATGTTCAGGGTTTTAAAAAATGTTCCGCGACCGTGATTTCGTCCGCGATATAGCGATTTCGCCGCCGTCCGAGTTACCCGTTACCCCGCAATGGCGCTGTCACACCCCAATTTAGGGGTTATGTTTCTTCTATATTAAATATGGAAATTAAATAACTTTTTAATTAAAGTATTGGGTTCAAAAGAATTTTGGAGAAAATTCATGGACTTTAGTTATAATTTTCTCCTCCTTTGTTATTATAAATTTAAGAGATTTCTAGAATAAATTATTTTGTTATTGTGAAATGATATGAAGTTTGGTTGGCAAATAATTTTTTTTATCAGACCAGTATTTTATTAAACAAATTGAGGATAATGAATTAGGTAGGATACGGATAAATTGTTGGGTGAGATAGGAAATAAAATAAGGATTATTTATCCACTTGCATTGAAAACTTTCCTCAAGTGTCTGCCCCAACACCCTATCCTTATCCATATCTCTCTGTCACCGCCTTTGATCTCACCAGAGGTATTCTACTAAAGAGAGACAGTCTTCATTTGTTGACCTCAACTCTCTTGAATATTCCATTTCCAAGAAAGACAGTGATGCCGTGAAAGAGGCACTTGATTCAACTTACTGAAATTGGATGGGCCAAGAAATGGAGTTCACAGTCGTATGTCTCTCGTCGTACGATTAGTCTCCGATATTGAGTCTGAAGTTTTGGGAAAAGTGATCACTCAAATGTTAGCCTGCATACGCATAAGCATACATACATCTCTTCGGGAGTTGACTAGCCTCAGTATTAAAAATGCAGAAAATCTTGCAATTCCAAGTGTTTGAAATGATGCAACATTTCTTTTCACAGTAGTTGGGATAACATGGTTTTTGGGAGTTCTTGCTGACCAGCTTCTTGGGGATTGGGGTTTCTTTGTACCATATTAAATCAAAAACATTTCGTTGATAGTGTTGGTAGTGTGGAGCATTTCGCCTGGGTTCGTCTCTCTCTTACCGCAAAAAAAAAATGAATGAAGAGCGGAGATCACTCAGCCATTAATGTCCCGGAGTTGAGTGCCGTTGAAAAAGGCAAAGCGCCTCTCATTTTTACTGCCAGGTAGCAAAAGAGCGGATTCAAGAAAGGGTTGGGTATTTCTGACTTCCTTCTAATACTAGGAGCCATTATTGCAGCTTTAGCTACAGTTGCCACCATGAGAACTAGTGATGAAACGCTTCCTTTCTTCACCCAATTCTTACAGTTCGAAGCCAGTTATGATGATCTCCCCACATTCATGTTTTGTGTGATTACAATGGCACTAGTTGGTGGATATCTCGTCCTTTCCCTACCTTTCTCCATAGTCACTATCGTTCGCCCTCATGCGGTTGCGCCTAGACTCCTTATCTTTATTTTGGACACTATATTAGAAGTTGTAAATAACCCTGAACGCATGCATGAATTGATGAGTGAAAGAAGGAAGGAAATAAGAAAACTATGAATAGAAAAGAGACAGCACGTGGGCTGTTTGAAGAAGTTAATAAAGGATGAAGGGTAAATCACAACACGAGTCATCCAAGTTTGGTGATAATTCAACTTTGTCTTCTAGTTTCTATAAAGTTATGAATGTTGTCTAATGGTTTGAATAAGATTATTTTGGTCACTCACCTTGGTAGATAAGTATTAAATTGGCTCTTTGAGTTCTTAATTTGGTCAGTTATATGCCTCTATTATAAAAAGGATTTTTAATAATTTATTTTATGGCGAGGAAATTTATTTTATATTTGGGTTCGTAAATTTGAAGGTTTGGGTTCTTGAGATAAAGATTGGAAGTTAGAAATTGAGATTGATGAGCTTGAATTCAAGAATTATTGTTTGGGTTTTATCGACGTCTTGAGTCCAAATCCGAAGTTCGTTTTGCCAAATTCGTACCCGGTGAGCTGTTTTTAATGATTTATTTTCGGATTCAATATGGTTTCTCAATTAAGTTCCATTTCTGACGTAAATTTGGTTTCCTTGTATCCGAGGAATTATTCGACATTAACTTCAAGATCGAGGGCGTTCGAATGGAATTTAAATGGTCGATCAGTATGGCATGGAAAACGAGGTAATACTTTACTACCTCTTTATGCTTTATAGAATATGTTGGTATTGGTAAATGCATGAATGAAAATGTTTGGGCTCATACGTGTAATTAATGAAGTTCTACCTCGATACGAATGCGGTAGAAAGTAGGCAACTGAATTTGACTCATATGATTATTATAAGAATTGGAGGACAGTTGGAATTAAATTACATGTTCTGAAATTAAGTGATAAATGAATCAACCATGGATATGTAGATTATAATTTATCTCATTAAAGGTAATTGGATGATAAATTATGAGAATATATCGATTAGGTAAAATTACGAAAATACCCATAGATTGTAAAATGATAAGAATTGTCCCTGGGAGTTGATTAATAACTCTGAAAAGACTTATTGATCTGATAAAACTACATATGTGTATAAGGAATGCTAGTTTGCTTAGAAAATTTGGATAATCAGTTTTAACTCCAAGAGGGTTTGTGCAATATACTAGAAGTCTGTTAAGGGAATCATTTCAAGATCAGAGAATGTTCAAGAAAGCAATAAATCATAGGATCTCTAAATTATATTATTTTTTAAGAGTTAATACCGAAATTATCTGGTTAAGAAATTACGAAAATGCCTTTGAGAGATAAAATAGTCTGAATTGACCCTATATGAAAAAGTACTTTGAGGATTTGTACTTAACTCGATTAAGTACGAATTTAATTGGTAAGATCCTGTCTTTGTACAGAAAAATTATAATATTCCGTTTGTAAAATCTGAGAAGACAATTGACCCGAAAATATTCGAATAATGAGTAAATACTTGAAGAGTAATTTATCGGAGGTATTCTGCTGTCAGAATTGTTCGAAAGGACTGAAGACCGGATGGAAGGAAATGATTGAAATATTCTAGAATTATAAAATGACCAAAATACCCCTGGAATGGAAATGACTCAAGAATGTCACCAAGCTCAGGAATGAATGGATATACTCAAGCTTTGAAATGAATAGAAAAATATTGAGCACTAAAATGACCAAAATACCCTATTGGCCTAGAATAAGTAAATGTCTTGGATTAATTAAGGAATCCAAATAAACATGGATGTTGTACTACTCTTAAAGGTTATGGAACGCAGTTTAAGTGATCAACCAACGTTACTGTTATATCATTACCTGAATGATATAAGTACCACTTGAATGTTTGTTCATCTTCTCAAATTTGGATCGATGATAATTCTAGAAGTACGTGGCTCAGCTCAACTCTAGAGCGCATACAGTACTAATAAGTGGGTATTCGTGAGTCAAATCAACCACGAATACCAGAAGGACTTTATTATATAAATAAATTGAACTGAAATGAAGTACAATGTGTATTTGAAATTCAGAAACGTCTGAATTATTCTGGAAAACTTTAAAGTAATCGGGATAGACTTGCTTACCAAACGAACTAAGTAACATCAATGACTAAGGATTAAATAGGTGATTTGATGAGTTTGGAAATACTGTTGAACTTACATTATGAATTGTCATTTTGGGTTATGAGCCATGGATCAAGTACGTCAATATTTCCTGACATTGTTGAAACGTGGAAATGAAATAAAGACCATTGGAAGATTTATTCAGTGATGTTTATGGGGATGATCTATGGATCTGCATTATGGTATTAAAGAGTGAATACATTGGAAGGATAATGAATTGACTTGTTGACATGCATCAGTTTGAGAGTTGTGTAACTCAAGTTGTTTGATAATATGATCGATAGTCGTAGATTGTAAATGACTTGAATCTTCGATTCTATATTTCATCTAAAATCACTTCGGTCATGTTTGAAAAAAAAACAAGTAACGCAGAAGGAAAAGATTCTGAATATCTCATTTGGTTCAATTGGGCTGAAATCCTATGAATTCAAAGTATATTCCTGAATACCCCTGATTGTTTGGGTAATGGAATCACTCGCAGTAAATCTGAATTTAGAATTATTATGTATAAAGGTTCCTGAACGTTTTCCTAATGCACACGAAAATATAGTGGGATTCTAATGTATCAACCTTAAATGTCTGGCTAGATCGGTTAGTAATCGATTCTCCTCAATAGGACCT